CATTTTCTTCAATAGCTCTTTAAAATTTTTAAATTTTATTTAGGATCATCTGCTTTCATTATTTCTGGTCTGTCTTTGAGGAACAGTTTATCTTGGAAGAACAAGTAATTTATTTTTCTAAAAGAATACGGTTGTGTAGGATAGGTTCTTCTGCAAATAGGACCATAAAATATAAAACACTTTACTAGGGAAAGCATAAGCATTCAGGGAATTCTTTTTTAGTTTTGATATCTATCATGGCTTCATGGTCCACATCTATGTTTTTTGTTTGTTTGTTTAAATAATCTCTCTTTTTTCTGTCTTTTTAAAAAAAATTTTTTTTTTTGGTAAAGGGGAGGTAATCAGGTTTGTTTGTTTATTTATTTATTTATTTATTTATTTATTTATTTTGATGGTGGTACTGGGGATGGAACCCAGTACCTTGTGCATGCTAGACACACGCTCTACCATTGAGCTATACCCTCTCCCCCCACCTATGTATTTTACTCTGAGTTGTTGGCTGTGGCATATAAAATTAATAAATTTAAGGGGTCTGACCACAGAAGGCTCATAGATGCTACTCTACTCTAGAACAAGAAGTTAAGACTGCAAATGTTACTTTTCAAGTGAGGACAAAAATTATCTCAGAAAACAAAAAGGGTTCAGCTTCAAAAGTATACTGCCACTAACAGTGTATTAGAGAAACATTTTAAGACTAAAACCCTCTAGTCAATCTCTTCCTAATCCATTTTTAGTACTGTTTACCTATTTTTATGTAATACTTAATATGTAGACCTCTTTATGGGTATACAATGCTTAGTCACACTGCTAACAATAATGTTTACTCTATCTATCATAACTCTGAAAACCTGTCTGACCCAATTCTACATCTTTCTCCTGCCCTTTGTTTCAGCAGGATTGCCCTTGCCAGGCTTTGAAACAGCACTTTTGTCAATGCCTCTCTTTGTTGGTATCTGGCTAAGCCAGAGGTGTGCGGGGTTCATATGTCCTGAGACCCCTCATTTTTGGTTTAGACCAGTTGTTCTCAACTGGCAGTGATTTTGACAGGCATTTGGCAATGTCTGGAGACGTTCTCATAACTGAAGGAGGTGTTGGTGGCATCTAGTGGATGGAGATCAAGGGTGCTGCTAAACATCCTAAAATGCATAGGGCAGTCTCCCATAACAAACAGGTTTCCAGCCCAAATGTCAATAGTGCCACTGTTGAGAAAGAAAAACTGCTATAGAGAAAATGTTGAAAACAATAGTATATACTGAAACAATACTTTTTTAATTTATTTCTATTTTGTTACGGCTAAAAGTAAAATTAAACAATTTAAAATGTTCCTGTATCAAAAATTTGGCCTATGTTCTTCATTTTGCTGTCAAACTTTGCATTTTTCATCAAATGGCATGTTATGGCTGCTCACCCTCAAAGATTAGTTGTCTTTGCATGGTTTATTATTTAAAAAAAAAAAAAGCACAGTTGTTACAATGAAAAAGTTTTGCCACAGCTCTAGTGTGTTTTTATTTGCATTTCTTCCAACTAGACTTGTGATATGTGGATAATGGCTTGTACAACCATTCTTCCCTCTTCCTCTGTCTTTTCTCTCTTCATACTTCTTTTTTTTTTTCCATTCTGGTTGGCAGAACTCCTCTAATTGCAGCTGGAGTCATTGGTGGGCTCTTCATCCTGGTCATCATGGGTCTAACGTTTGCAGTTTATGTTAGGAGGAAAAGCATCAAAAAGAAAAGAGCCTTAAGAAGATTCCTGGAAACAGAGGTGAGGTGTTTATTTCTTCTCTTCATATGTTTAAGGGTTCCAGGTTTAGCAGGTTTTGATGATACTCAGTTTTTTAATCCAAGGGAAAATTCTATTTAATTTCTTGCTGAGGGTCTGTATTTTAAAGTATGCTATACAAAGTTGATGAAAAATCAGAGTATGTAATAAAATTAGTCAAGGCAGAGTCATGGCTTAAAGAGAGTAAACAGCAGGGGTCAAGGAAATGATCATTGAGCATTGATCATTGACGATAAGACAGATCTGTTTCTTTTGCGGGTTCGGATTCCATTAAAAAGCTCTAGAACATCAAAGTAGCAGAACTAGAATATATCTGGGTAAGAGGATATCCCAGTAGTGGAACCAGAAAAATGTTAGAAAGAGAATTTTTGGGTTCAAAATAAAACCAGATTGACAAGTGATTTATACTTTAATTAAGGTCATTACATTGGTAGCCACTGATCTCATTACACTGGCAGTGAAAAGCTGAGCTTAAAGGGTAAAGCTTAGTTTTGTAATCACACAGACTTTATGACACACTTTATGAGACGCATTTGATATTATGCATGTTAGTTATTGTGACTATGTAGAGTACCCATAAAATATTATAATTTCTTTTATATTGCCATGCTGAGTCTCTAGCATGCAAGATAATCGTTTTCACTGTACAGGTTATGGGGGAAAACAATTACAGGAGACCATGGATTACTACATCCTTCTCAACTCGAATCCTACCTCTTTCTCGTGATAACACACATCAGTGTCTGTCTGAACAGTTCAGAGCAAATCTGTTCTGAGACTTACTTAGCCTTCTTTGGGTTTGTTTTCCTTCTCACTGTCAGTGTGACAGTCTGACTTTTCCTTTTAACACTGACAGGAATAGAGAGATTCATTCATTCATAAATTTCCCACACTGATAATAAGTTAAATTTTAGCTCTTTTCCCTCAGAAGTTGACTCTCGGTAGAAGAAAGTTTCAGAAAGCTACTATACAGTTACATATAAGAATATACTTTCTAGTGGTTAGAAGTTATGTGAAATTAGAATGGCCTGTCTCATCAGTAGGCAATGTTCAAGCATAAAAAAGTAGTCAGTTGTGTACATGGGAAAACATAGCAGTGATTCCGACTTGAGCCGGATGTTTACAAACGATCAGCTTGATCACTTTCAGCCTTGCACATGTGAATAAAATTTGGGGCACAGCACACATGCATATTTTCAGTTTAGCGAGGATGCTGGAGGCAGGTAGAATTCTCCCTTACAGCCAGCTTGGGGCAATCACAGAGAGGATTCTGAAACGTGAAGTAAACTAGAGTTAGAGAGGAACTGAAGGTCTGAAACAACAGTGGTTATTTAGGTGCCTGAATAAATAGAAGACAAATTCTGTCTCTCAACCATGTATAGGAAAGTCTTATTGCTATGCGAAGAGTTTCTTTGTTACTATGGTGTTTTCTAAGAATGCCCTTCAAATTGGCATTTCATTACTAAATAAACATATACTGATTGGTTTTATGAGAATAGTCTTTTTTTTTATAGAAAGTGATCACTTAAGACTCAGTTAGATAATTGTTGAGTTCCCATCCTTCTCTCAGTAAAAGTAAATTGCTATGATTTTTCTACCAACTAAACAGAAGAGGAATTCTTACAAGAGGATCAACTTAAATCCTTAAATACTGAAGCTAGATCTGCTTCCAAGGTGAAAAAACTTATTAAGCCATGGTATATTATTGGAAGGTTTTTAAAAATTGATACACATTCCCAAAATCATTTTGCTTCAGATTCTTTTTCTGGTTCATGCATCAAAGTAGAAATTTTTTTTCAACATACACTTACTGAGATGCACTATAAGCTTCATGCGTTGCTAGATGCTGTGATTTAAAAATATATTAATAAGACATGATCCTGCTCTTAGAAGAGTGGCAGATGTTGTGCCTGCATTTCGGCAGGCAATGTTCCAAAGTTGTCCACCTACGTTATATACCACGTCACCCTTTAACAATCTTTTAGGGTAATTATTGCCTTACCAGTTTCACAGATGTGAAATGAGGGGTCGGACAGGCAAACTGTTTTCTAAGCCTGGAAGTGGCAGCAATGGTACACAAACCCACAAATTTAAACTCGTTTTTATACCATACAGGCTCACAGAGTAAAACTGTGCTACTTTTAATGGTATAATATTCAAATTCCTAGGAACAAATGCATTTGTAAAAAATTTTAATGATACCTAGGGCCTAGAAAATTGCAGAAGGTCTAACATATCAGGTAGAATTGTGATGTTTTCAAATTAGGAAATTATTGCATAATTTATGTCTATAAATATATAATACATATATTTAAGGATATCCAGCCAAAAATGCTGGGATCCACTCCCCAATCTTGTGTGTGATTTTTGTGTGACTTTTGTATGGGATTTTTAAAAATTATAAAATTTCTTATTATGCATATAGTATGTTCATCAAAATCTATCAGTCAAATCCTTCACAGCAAGATTCAGGTGAAGGAGATTTTTTTTCCAGATTTAATAAAGAATTTTGTGATTCTTTCTGAGGTTTCTCTTATGTGATTTGAATGCAGGTATCTGCATTATTACAATATAAATTTGAAAATAAAATAGAAGTGCATTGGTTGTCAAACTGTGAAAAGAAATAGCCTAGGTTTATTAATAATTTTTACCATCTTCCCCAAATTCTTGCTCTTGCTAAACTTTACCTCTTTGCAAGATTCTGTTCAGCTAATTAAGTCGACGATGATGTTCACAGAAACGTGATAATAATAACCAAGCTGGGGGACCACAGGTCAGTGAGCTTTGTGAACAGACCTTTTGAAGTACTGTGGTGGTTTTCAAGACAATCTAAGTAGGAGTAGCCCTTAATTATTTCCTTATGCTGAGAAAGAACAAGCTATTTGTCTGTGCTGAAAGTTTAGTCCCTTTATTTGACTTAAAAAAAAAAAAGGAACTAATTTCTCTCACTTGCCTTTTTCCTCAAGCATAGATAAAAAAATCTTAAAATTTTAACATACCAGACAGACTTTTTGGTACCCAGAGTCTCTCTTCTTTCTGTACATTTTTTTTTCCCCAACGTGGGCAAGAAATTGACACACATTCACATACCTCTCCCCTGATTATCCATCCTCTCTGACTGTGGCATCTAAACTGTGACATCTAAGATCATCAGCCTAATTTTACCACTTTTGGCCACACCCTGTGCACTTCACGATCTGGTATTTCCCACCCTCACCTCACCCTTCAGACCTCTCCCAGATGTATCCCTCTTCACCCTCCCTTCTTTTCCCTGATGCTGCATCCAAGCTGTTCTTTGTGGAGGCAGTGGCTTTCCCCATGGGAATCCATCGTTATTATCTTCAGACCAATTTTAAAGTGTACCTCTTTTTAGGAAGCAAAAAAAAAAAGTGAACCTCACTCCCCAGTGGTTATTTTATTCCTTTGTATTCCATAGCATTCATTTCTGACCTAGAACCAATTCATAGAATTTCAGAATTTTTAACCTAGAAGGTGTACTTTGGGGCCTTGCTCCTGTGTGCCAAGGACCATTCTCACATACAGGTATCTCTTGAAGTTCTGTAAAAATGCAGACGTCTGCCCAACTCCAGAGCTACTGAACCAGAATTGGCATTTTAACAAAAACCTTGGATAATTCATATGTGCATGAAAGATTTAAAAGCATTCTTGGGGTATTGGCATTGAGCAAACTTAAATTTTTTCTTTTCTGATGTGGCTGTACCGGCTTCTTAGCTAGATTTTAAGTGCTAACAAGGTAGTATTTTATTTTAATTTATGTATCAGATTTCCTAAAACCAGAAAGAAAACTTTAACAGAACATACTGGCATAAGTAAAATCTCTGAGTCTTAGCTGAAGATAACCAAAAAGAAGCAGCATGAAAAAGTAGAATTAAGAGCCCTAATTAGTCTCTAAATCGCTATAAAAAAAAAGTAGGGGGAAAGAAAAAAACCCCCTAGACTGGTGTGCTTCAAGGTAAGGACACATCTGTTACTTGTATTCACCCAGACAAAAAGCATAGAAATAGAAATTATAGGGTTGGAAGAAACAGTGAGTGACCACAGTAAGACAATACCATTTGTCAAGGAAAGTGGGCATGTGTGTGTTGTGCACATGTGAGGAAACCAACTGGACGGAGGTGGAAGATGAGAGAGGAGCGCTGAACGTTGGATTGAAAGTTGTATAACCCGTATCCTTCTTGTTTTGCAGTTGGTGGAACCTTTAACTCCCAGTGGCACAGCACCCAATCAAGCTCAACTTCGTATTTTGAAAGAAACTGAGCTCAAAAGAGTGAAAGTACTTGGCTCAGGTGCTTTTGGAACCGTTTATAAAGTAAGTGAAAAATAACACACAGCATCAGGTTTTTTGAGTTTGGTTTCAGACTTGCTGTAAGTTATAGCCAGAGTTACAGTTCTGGCCAACCTAAGTTCCTTTTTAATATTCAGAGGGAAGGGCCTTCATAGTATTGAGAAGTTGCTGCACAAATGAATTTGTTAATTTGTATTGAGCAAGCCGAGCTGGACACAGTCATGAGAAAGGAGGAACCACTGATACAAAGACAAAGTTAGCTCTTCCTCTCAGTGCCCTTCTGAGCCCCATTTGATCTCGTTTCCCTTTGGCAAATTTGTCCTTATCCACGATATCCATTTCCAACTCATTTTCCTTTCCCCCTACACGGTACAGTATTAAATCCCAGCAGACCTGGGCAATGTCCATGCGTAACCCCATCACCTTTTCTCCTGCTCTTTTATCCAGAGGTCTCTCCATCAGGACCCTACTAGCTCATCTCTTTAGTATCCGCCAGAAACATGCTGAGGTGTTAACCATGTAGGTCTGGTTTCTAAACCACTTTTTGCCGACGTGGTAACATTTACAGTTTAACAGAAAATTTCCAGTTTTAATGTCTTCACCATTATATGAAAACTAAAAAAGTAACTTTATTTAAGAAATTCAAGCCAAATAGAAGGAGAGGGTGACATCATGGGTTTCAATAAGAGAGATCCTTCCGGAAAGGGAAATCTCAAATGATGGCATTTGCATGTTTACTTATTTAACTTAATTACAAAACCAATTCAAAGGCCAGGCCCAAGGTTAATTGTGGTGAAATTTATTTTTAACGGTAAATAACAAGAATAAGAAATGCCGTTAGGTCAGCACTGAGTCTTTCTTGCAGTGTGCGTTACTGGAATTCCCAAAATTCGCTGTGGCAGTTTTATATATTTCTTAAAGCTCTATGCAAGCCTACATTTTTTACAAGCATATTGGCTAAAATAGATTGGATCTTAGAAATTTTACATATTAAAATGTTCTTTTTTATATTTAAAACAAAGATTTTTTTACAGAAAATATTAACAATTAGAATATAAACCTTAATTTTCTCTCTTGAGTGTTCCAAAAATAATCTAACCTCTTTGAAATACACTTTTACTCTAAAGTCAAAATGCACGTAATTTGAGTAGAAACTATTCTATGCTGACATGACACCTTCTAGTCCTCAAATTCTTGGTATGGTCAAAGAAACACAACTTATCCTATCTGTTTCTCTATTTATATTATGCTAGAAAAAAATGGGCTCCCATTTTGAAAGTAATTCAATCTAGAATGTAACTAGCATATAACCACTCATAGTTTTAGAGATGATGTGGTCTGGAAACTAAATTTAATTTTAAATCATAAATACTATACAACTCAAGACTGAATATTATCTAGCGACCCAGCAGAGAAAAAATATTAACCATTTAGATATTTAATAATAAAGCTTTATTAATATTTTTATTAACAATAATTTGTCTAATATCTGAGTGTCATACCTTTATTGAAACTACTTCTATTAAAGGCTTATTGAAAGTTCCATAAGTATGTTTAAATTTTATGTCTGCAGTGAGTATAGCTGACCCTAAGTTTTAGTTAACCTATTAGTCCTTACAAGGACATACTGTCTTAATCTGTAAAGAATTATTCTTGACCACAGAAATGCAAATTGCTTCAGCCAATTGCTGGGGTAATTTTCCCTCCTTGTTGGAGAAACGTGGTATTTAAATGTAAAAGATCTGGACCCATGTCATGGGTCTAGCAGAGTCGGATTTAGGTCTCATGAGGCCTAGAAAATGATGACTGAACTTATTTAAAGAGCAGTGCAAATTAATTCACACTGGATTTACATTCTTACTTCAAAAGCATACTTTAGGACTATTTTAATATTGATGCTATATCTTTATAAGGTAACCCCCTCTGTGGTTACTTCACTGAATGATAGTAAGCCTGTTCTCTACCCTAGTACCATCAATAAGAAAATGCTTCTTGGAATTTTTGTTCCCATTTGTACAATAATTTTGAAAAATATATCTATATCACAGGGAACATGGCTTATTGTTTTGCATTTGACACACAGATTTCCCTACTCACTCTACGCACATAACCTTTACATTCACCTTCTAAAGGTTAAAGTCTTTTTTTCTGTATTATTTTGACTTTTTAACAATTCTTGTGTTTAGGTCTTCTCATATATTTTTACAGCTTTGAGTAACATAAATACATATGTTTTAGCATAGAAGTACTAAGTGGAAAACTTTTTAAGAACTCTTCTTTATAACCACCTTATGTTAAGAAAAACAAGAAATGAAGATGTTCTGCTCAGGAATGATAGACTTTCATTTTAATATTAAAAGTGGCCTAAGAAGACGGTTTTGATGTCAAGGCTAATAAAAATTAAGATTGTTTTACATGTAGCCTCATATCTGCTTCTATGTTCATTTGGGACAATACATTAAAAAATATATTCTTATATAATCCATGCACCCCTGTATTCTTCTAGGAATCGTTGTCTTCATTCAAATGGTTGAATTATTTACCAAAAAATGCTGTTATTTAATTTAACTTTGTACTTTACTCAAACTCTACCTACTTTATACATTACCAGAATCCTGTTCAAATATTATAATTACTTCTGTAAGAAGAGAGAACTTGCAATGACTAACATAGATATTTCATATTACTTCAGAAACAATAAAAATTCTTGACATATATATACACACAATATTAAATAATATACACATTAATATGTGCTCAATACTCCCTGGTACTTGCCTTTGAAAACTAATTCTTAAACAATCGCTTTAGAAAATTAATTCTTAAGTCAGTCTGAATTTTGAAACATGAGAATGTGCTTTTAAATTTTCTTTTACTTTTAGTTGCAGAATAAGTAGGTAATACTGAAGCTAAAACTTCATTACTTACTTCATTACTTAAACATTACTTAGCCCAGCCTTCTAAACTATAAATGAGACAATTGAAGTTCAAATATCAGAACAACCTTCTCAAAGTCATAAAAAGTTGATGATATCATCCAAGTTAAATATTATTATTATACCTTATTTCCATTTTTTTTTTACTAGTCAAAGCCTTTTTCATGCACACAAATTGAATTTTATAATAGTGTAAACACTCTGAAAGCAGAAAACATATGACCCATCTTCAGGTAATGACAGCAGACGACAAAGTTTCTGAATAACTTGTAACATGTAACAAACAGGTGCTTGAAAAATGTTTGTTGATTGAATGAAAAATTTAGAATTTCTGAATTATTTTTAAAGATCTGAATAGGTTGAATGGTTACATCAAATCTTGTTCCTGGTCTAAATGTTATATGTGTCTTAATATAGATTTAAGGTCTTTTTTTCCCCCAAAGGGTATTTGGGTTCCTGAAGGAGAAACGGTGAAGATTCCTGTGGCTATTAAAATTCTTAATGAAACAACTGGTCCCAAAGCCAATGTGGAGTTTATGGATGTAAGTAGAGACACTAGACAATTACATTTCTATCCATTATTAATAGACTGCTTTTAGAATTACCAAAGAAAAACCAAAGAAACAAACAAAAAACCCCCACAAGATTCCAACTTCAGAGTGTCTTCTCTGGAAATAGTATAATCTTATGATTATCGTCTTGAGCAGAGGTCAGCAAACTTTTGCTTTAAAGACCAGGGAATAAATATTCAGGCTTCTCCTGCGATGTGGCCTTTGTGGCAACTATTCAACTCTTTCCTTTTAGTGGGTAAGAGGCTGTAGACAATTAAGAAAAAAATGAAATACAGGAATGAGTGTGACTGTATCCCAGTAAAACTTTACACAAGCAAGCTGAAGGCCATTCTGCCCACAGGGGCCAAATATTTAACTGTGTTGCCAAGTTTCATTTGAGAGTAGTGATGATGATTCACAAAATCAATCAGACTGCTTTATGTTATTGTTGTTATGATCTATTTAGTCGAAAACATCAATCAAGATTAGTTTTGATAGTAAGTTAGTCCCTGTTAAATTTAAATTAGGGATAATCATGGAACAAAAGTTTCTGTGCCTGATGCGTACTGAGGCCAAACAAACCAGAACATCAGAGTTTGGAGCAGAGAAAAGTTTATTGCAGGGCTAAGCGAGGAGGAGGAGCAGCTCATGCTCAAAATAACCAAACTCTCCAATGGTTTTAAAGGAAAAGATTTTATAGACAAATTTGCAGTGAGGTGAAGTTGCCATCCTCCACCTGGATGGGAGCCTTAGTTCCTGCAGAAGAATGCAAAGATATTGTTATGTATATTCCTTGAGAAGGAACCAACCCTGCCCCAGGGCTGCACTATTGTTTCTTAATTGTTCCTCTCTTGTCTCTGCACTCCCTCCCCTCTCTGATTAGCAACTGTTTGAATTTGCCCTTTGGAGCTCAAGGAAGGTCAAGGAGGCTGAAGGAAGGCTTTATTTTACAAACAAGAAATGTGGGAAATGGAAAAGGTTTGTACCAGGGAGAACCTCATAGTGTCCGGTTCTATTTCAATTACCAATTGTTGACTGAAAGAGATGTGCAGCCGAAAAGTTGAGAGTTATTGTTTCATTTGGTGGGAGGACTTGAGCTGGGAAGACAGACTCAGATCGCTCTGAGGGACTTCTCCAAAGAGGTAGGGCAGGAGCTAGGATATATAGGAGCTTTACAACTAAGACCAGGTAGTTGGAACAATAAAAGATTACTTGAAACAGGCACCTCAAGTTAAAGAATGTAGTGCTTTTCTAAGTATGGAAGGCAGCAAACATTTGGGCTCATTGAATTCATTCCTTTGACAAGCACCTAGCTATCTATGGCCAGTATCTTGTCCTTTATTATTCTGAGTCCCCTCAGGGTGCACCATTAATGAGTGGCTGCAGGGGCTGGGCTGCAGGCCTGTCCTCACTGGGGAGTGGGGGTGGCAGCCAGGGGTGACTTGATGGCTTCAGCATTCTTTGTTTACTGATATGGTTTGCAGTATTTTTCGTTCACATCATTAAATTTTTTTTTCAATTCAGATTCAGGGAATAAGACCTTATAGATAAAATGCTCCAACTATAGAATAATAAGAGAATAAAATTATTTTTAAAAGGCCAATCAGAACTTCACGATTTCCCCTAGCAAATATTGTAGGTTGAGCTGTTCAGCGAATTTCAAAAGGTAGGACAGATGAAACTATGTATGTATCATGCTGTTATTTTTTTACATTCAGTGCAAGGTATCTTGCCTGGAGTACTATCAAGGACCCATATGTATTCTTTCTCTGTCTTTCAGCATAATGTCTTCAGTAATAAGAATGATTTTGATTTTCAAATGACCTTCATATGAAAGCATATGCACTTTGATTTTTAAAAGATGGATTGCTATACATTTCTACCCAGCTTTTCTTGCAAGCCCTTTTATAAGTTTTGCAGGAACTCTGTGACCTTGGATAATCTATTTGGATGTAATGCTATCACCATCTTATATAGGGGTAATTTATTCAAACAACTTACTGGTTATTATATAATAGAGCTGATAATTAATTAGAACAAACTAGCTGTTCTGATTGGTTGGTGCTGTGCCTTACCAGTTGCTAAATATTTTAAATACGATCTTTTTTCCACATCTGCTAATACCTAACAGACACTGAGTCCAGTAACTAAGTACTATTCCTCCTGCAGGTCTCTAATAGTTTTGGTGCTCTCTGCAGCTACATGTCCTGGCTCATATATTAAAATGAAAAACTGAAGTTTTTTTTTTCAGTGATGTTGCAGTCAGTTTGATCTTGATCATAGGTATAAATTTGTGAAGGAGATTTTTCAAAGAAAGTAAAAATTATAAATAAAAATGACACTGAGTTAAAACAGTATAGGTTACTATGTAAAACTGATATAAAAAAGATCTTGCCCCATCTAGACTGCAGCCAAAGCCAAAATTCACAAGATTGCTAATAATCTCTGCTGAAGGCTCGGACAACCGTTTTTGTCATATTTCCATGGAAACAGACTGGCAAAAAGGGGTTAAGAGGCTACGAAATAATCACCTAGGAAGGAATCTCGAAAAACCTCATCATGATTTTGAATGATTATTATTTGAAAGCTCTTAACCCCATCCTTTTCTTTTTTTTTTTCTTTTCTTTTCTTTTTCCTCATCTGAAGTCTATTCCCATGGAAACAGGAGTGGGGATGGCAGCTTGAAGTCTCAGATTTCTGCTGAAATTTAGGTGAGGCTCTGATTGAGCCGTGAAAGAAGTCATTTTCATAAACGGTTGATGGATTTGGTGACCAACCGACTCCAAAGAGTCTGATATTCTTAAAAGCGAAAAAAAAAATTAGGGAAAATATTTTGACTGCCTTTCCTCCCTGGTGAAAGATTAAAGATTGATGGACTGCTATTGGCAGAGTTTCAATAAGTCTCAGGCAGAAATACTTCCTACAGTTTTCTCAACTTCTTTCAAAACATTAAAATAGAATCACAAAAATTAAAATACAGAGTTGAACTGACAAAATTAATGGTGAATTCAGTATTTGAATTAGGCTGGTATAATTTTAATGTAAACATATACCTACATTTCATATCTACCTTTTTAGCTCATCTATGATGTGTGTAGATAAATGCTTATATCTATAAATATAGATGCTTAAATAGCAAATCAAACCACAATTTAAAAAGTTTATGTAAGCAAAAGTATTTGTAATTTGGACCTAAGGATTGAGTTGAAATTCCAAATATTCCAAGGGTTATTAAGTTAAAAGTCATGTTCAGCCTATGTCTTAGTTTGGGTTATTCTAGAAGCAGAAGCTGACCCTAAAACAAGGATTTGAGTAAAAGGGGTTTATGTTGGAGGAAAAAGACTCATCAGCTGGGGAATTGGGACATGAGACAGGGGAGCCAGTAAAGCCAGCTGCCCTCTGGAGTGACTGGAGCTGCTTTCCATTGGAAAGAGTCTGGCAGCCAGTGTAGGACATATACAGTTACTCTCCTTAAGGTTTAAGGGAGATGATGCAAAAACTCCAGCTGTCAGTCATCGAGTGAAGACCACTGGGAGAGAAAGTCACTTATTCTGCATGAAATACCCGCTGAACACGGCAAACAGGCTTCAATAGCAAGAGAAATCCTCTGGGCAGAAAACGTCAAGAGGAGGTCAGCTGGTAAAGGGCTATGGTAGATTGTTCCAAGGATAACTTTAAAACGGAAATAAGTTTGAAACCGTGCTGCATGTCTCTTTTGAGAACTAGTTACATGTGTATTTGTGTTTATATACACGTGTGCATGTGTTTTTAGATCGTTTTGTAGGAGGAAAATAAAACTTTAAGAATTAGACCTTTTGGCCACCCTCCCCCACTGCCCTGCAACTTTACACTTAGGGTGGAATATTCTGGATTCAATAACTACTACTAGGTTTATCAGCTATAGCTGTGCCTTACTTAGTGTCATAAATGGCACACATGAATAACTTAATGCTTCAAACACACTACTTTCAATACATCTATTGATATCCAAGGACAAAGGGGAGGACTTTTATACTTCCTTAGACATTTTATCATAGGCAAAAATAAATAAGGAGCATTCTGTGTTCTATTAAATGCTACACTAAAAGCAAGAGAAGGAGAATTTGGTCACAAGACTGTTAATCAGTTCACCTGAGTATGTCTAATGGATTCATAATGACAATAATAACGCATTGCCAGTGAATGGCCATTCTTCTTTCCCATAAAGGGAGATCACATTGAACATTAAGAAAATGACTCGAAAGGTCCACCTTCTTAAGGTGAATGCCTACATTTATACTCAGTCGTAGTTCTTCTTGCAGATAGCACCATCTCTTTGGGAAAACACAGGTGCTTTTTGTTTCTCTCTCTCTCTTTTTAAAAATTCATCAAATGAGGCACAACACATACCTAAAAAAATTATCCTGTTGAGCAGGATTCCTGGAACTGGGGGCCATGGTCTGATCAAATCAGACAGGCTCTTGAGTTTGCTGGAGTTTCCAGCACTGTTTCTTTTTTTACCCCATAGTTAAGCCCACTGTAATTAAATAACTTGACATTATTTAATTTGCCCAGGAAGTGATTATGTCTTTAAATGTTTTACTTACTTTATTAGTTTTCTTAAAAAGAATAATCTTAGGATAAAAGAAATGCCATAGTTATCCTAAGTTCCAATGACTGATCAATTATATATCAGTTTGCTTGAATCTCCATGGCTCTGGTTTCAGCTTTCTCTCTAAATCAACCACGTAGTTCATGGAGAGGTGCTGTAACAAGCGTATTTCAGACCCCTAACCTTAATGTGGAAATGGTAATTTTCTTATTGAAAGGAAAAGAACTCATTTCTTTCTCCCTATAAAGTAGGAATTTTTATTTATCTTACATAACAGGTATTTTATTATTTTCTGACGATATGTCCACATGAAGTATGTTTTCATGTTTCTCTTCTCTACATTGCTTTTATGATGCTCAGTGTCTAAATGGGAGTTGTTTCAGCTCTAGGTGATGCCATA